GAGTTTTTGACTCTCCAACCACATGAGAGATTATGTGGAGAAGTAAGTGCAGTGTTGCAATAATTGTAAGGCCAAGCCTATCATTTTAACCTCTGATATTAATAATTTTTTATTCTGAGTATGGGTTGCCATAAGTGGCCATCACATCACTCACTCATACTTTTAGATTTCTTTCAAAGTAGTTGAAATATTATATTATATTAGCAATCTTAATATAATCTCATTATATTATATTATGATTTTTTAAAAATAATTTTCTTTCACTTGAGAAATGTCAACAAACCTTAGTATTGCTGTACTGTGAAATCATTAAGGTCATGGAGAGTTACATTGTTGCATTAATTGTAAACCCAAACCTATCATTTTAATCTTTAAATTAATTTAATTTTTAATTCTGGGTTGCCATAAGTGGCCATCACATCACTCACTCATACTTTTAGATCTCTTTCAAAGTAGTTGAAAAATTGTATTACATTAGCAATCTTAATATAATTTCATTATATTATATTATGATTTTTTAAAAATAATTTTCTTTCACTTGAGAAATTTCAACAAACCTTAGCATTGCTGTACTGTGAAATCATTAAGGTCATGGAGAGTTACATTCGGTCAGTCTTAAACAAGTTTGACAGGTCTGGGAACTTGTACCAACTCAACCACTATACCACTGGTGTGATATTGCATGGACAGAGAGACCAAGTGGCTAGACAGGGTTTGAAAGATGTAAGTACATTATAAAACAATTTATATATTCTGAAATACGGTAGTATGTTTGATGTACTTTTTAAATATGAACTCATGAATTTATTATGTTATACAGGTTAATTTTGAGTTGTTTGGCGGAATCATCTCATTTGTCAATATAAGAAGCAACCACTGGATGTTTGTGGTAAACACTACAAATTCATGAAAAACAAATTTTTAATCAATATTTCATTTTATCAGAACATACTGGCATATAAAAATGTCGACAAGATGTTTAAATGAATATTCAGTTGAATGTGTTGTGTTCTGTTAGTACCTGCATGTTCTGTCTGGCACAATTTTTGTTGTGGATCCAGCAAGTGCTGAAACCGATGTTGAGACGCTGATGAATGCATCCCAAAAATTTCAGTAAGTCTTTTTTCATCACATTAATTAATAATATGAGAAATTAGAACAATTTCACAGGATGTCTGAATTAAACTGTTGTCCAACAGACAGTACTTCAGAATGAGGTTGAATCGCCTAGGAAAAGAACAACTGGTCAATATTCATTGGAAAATTGGCCAAATAGAGCATGCAGTTCAACAAGATGCAACCAGCTGTGGAGTGTTTGTCCTACAGGTATTTTTAAAGATCTACTACTAGTACAATACATATGATACAAGGCCATTAACTATGTTATTGGGGGCCCAGTGTAAATGTTTTTTAATTAAAATGCATTTTATTTAATACAATTAATTTTACTTTTTTCAATTATACCAAAATTATGAAGCTGAACACAGGCGTGTTTTTAGTACTTTTAATTTAGGCCTACTGTCAGCCCAATTAACAAACTATTATTAGCTTTCTCTGTCTTCTGGGTTTGTCTAACAAAATTAAAGGTAAGCATGCTTATCTGATTTTTTTATTTTTATTTACAATTACATAGCCTCAAGTAACAAGTAAAATATCAAGTT